CTGTCTCTGCCATTTGGTTAGAGAGAAATTAGGAGCACAGAATAAGCAAACAGTCTATTTGATTTGGAAATTAAAAAAAAAAATGAGCTACAAAGCAAATAACACTGACTTGGGAGATGGAGGACCTTGATTCTGGTCCCGGCTCTGCCATCAGGTCACTGTGTGATGACGCCAAGGACTGTTACCTCTCTGGGCCTCATTTGCCACGTCTGGAAATGAAAGATTAGACTTGATGAGAGATCCTCAAGTGATGGGCAGGATCTGCCAGTCAAAGTGGCACCCCGGAGGACAGCACGGGTTGGCCGCACTCTTTTCCCACTCATCCCAGAGCTTTTGATTCTCAGCCTCTTTGATAGCCCCAGAGCGAAGGAGAGAAATAAAAAAAAAGACCCTCGTCAGGAGGGAGTGGGATGCCTAGACTAGACAGCCCCTGCCTCTCGCCTCCTCACAGCCCTGTGCCTCGTCCTCCAGCTGACTCTCTTGCTTATCTATTTCCTAAACATCATCACAGAGGCTCCACAACCTTCCCTTTTTAACAACTCTTGCTGATGGAAAATTCTTCCTCATACCTAATCTAAGTCCATCTGCTGCAATTTCTGTCTATTTTCTCTCGTTCAATCCTTACTGGAGATGGAGAACAGCTGGTCGCCATCCTCCATATAACATCCCCTCCTAAACCAAAATCAGTTATTACATCACCCCTCAGCCTGTTTTTCTCCTGGTATAGCATCCACCACTCCTTCCAACCTGCCATCATGTATTCTAGCTCTGAAAGCATCACTGAGCACCATGGCCTGCACTGGAAGATGCTCGGCAAGCTCCAAGTCCTTCTGGAGCTGTAACATCCCCAGTAGAATCTAGGACTCAAGTGACAAAATCCAGGGGGAAAATCAGGGAGAGCAGAAAGGGATCAACCCAGTCCAAGCTCCTAGCTTTATATATGAGGAAACTGAAAGAAAAAGCAAGGAGTACAGCACCCAAGGTCGAATCTGAGGGATCAAGCTCCAGGGTCTGGACCCCAAACACTGTCACCACAACGCCCTGAGTGGCTGCAGTGTGTTCTTGATATGGGAAAGAGCAGGACCAGCCTTAACAGAAAAGCCAAAGGCCACAATTGCCCAGACGCTCCCTATCCAAACTCTGTCTTTCCAATCCCACCAGCAGATGCCTGAAACTCCACTATGAACAGCTTTGATACCCATTAAGAACTCAAATACCTCTGGCAACCATAAGTGGCAATGGTTAACTGTTCACACCTTAGTATGAATAAGTAGGTTTGATTCTTTCCAACACTTGATGGAGAAATTTAGGGGTAAGAAGAGAACGAAGGTCAAATAAACTAGGAGATGACAGACAAATGTCACTGCTTGCTAACATTTTCAAGGTCAGTCCTGTGGGTGGGGGCTGAGGGTGGGTGGGACTTGGGACAATGGAGCAGTGATGGCTGTGCCTGGTGAGAATCCCTTGCATCTGACAGGCCTGTGCTCAGGAACATCTGCACTGCCTGCCTCACGCAGGGACGCTGCACCACCCTAGGTGCTCTTGTGAGATCTGTGTGGAACTGAATATGGTGAAAGGATTACCTCACTGCTTCTACAGGACCAGCCCCATGTGCCTCCCAGAATTCCTGACTCCTCCTGGTTAACTGTTTCAGATGTGAGGTGAGCAGGGTATCTAAAATTAAGTCTCGACCTCTAGCGTGCCCTTAAGTGACAAGAGGGAAGAACCAGAAAGGAAGGAAGAAAGTGAGATATACATGAGATTAAGTGCGACTGTTCAGGTACATGCTTCAATATGAATGGTTCCCAAGTGGGGAGAAAATACGGGGTCATGTGAGTGTAAAGAAAAGTGAGTCGGTTGAACTATTTACTAATAATTTTGGCTACTAAGTTTTCCCTAAATGAGGAATGAAGGGGGAAAATAACAGAGTGTTGTGAATACATTTCAGAGTCTGGATTTCAAAACAGCCTTTACTCTATCTTGAATAAACAGAGCATCATGCTCCAACCTCTTCACCTTTTAGGGGAGTGCTCCAGACTAATTCAAACCTGCAGGCAGACACACACACACACACACACACACACACACACACACACACACTCACCCAGGATAACCAGAGAATTCACATATCCACCAAAGAAAAAGAAAACATTTCAACAGCATTTACAAAAACGCCTAACACAATAAACGTACTTATTTGATTTCTCCAAAAACACAAAATTAAATTTTAAAATAGAAGACTAAAAGGCTCTTTTCTGATAAAAATTCTAATATGTTTTCAATCCTATTTCAGGGGACAGTTTTCTTTAACAGCAAAATCAGCACAAAATGACAAGATCAAAGCAGGTTGGCAAAGAGTTTATTCACTGATGTGTTTGTGATGAAAGGGGATGACAGTCAGGAGATGAGATGCAAGAACAGAAAAGTAAGGAAGGGCCTTGTACTTGCCAGGTAAGTCACCTGGGGTTTGTGGAAGCAGAAAGAGGGAACCCCTTCATAGCACAGTGGTTAAATGAGAGAAACCCTAGTTGGCCAATTGAGGAGAGGAGAAAATGCTAGATTTATGGATGGAGCATCTCTGGGGTCCTGGCTAAAGCTACCACGTTTGACGAAATAACGACTAATAAGTTTAACTTCCTGCACACCAAGTAGGCCCTCCATACAGAAGCAGGCGCCTGGCTTCACAAGAAACTGATCAGCGACTAAATTCTCCAAACTGGATCATGGCAGGAGGGTTGGATCTGAGTGTCATGCCCCACTCAAGGTAAAGTTGCAATGATAGTATTTTGCGTTTCACCAATTATTCTTCAGCTCCTATTATGATTTTTTTTTAGTCTAAAGTTGTTATTTTAGTGATCTCTGTTCCAAATGGGGAACTAAAAAGAAGAGAAATGAGGGGGAGGGAGAGGGAGGCAAAGCGAGTGCTCCAGTGTGTCCCACTTGCACTTCCAAAGCTCCCTCTGCTCCCTGCCCCCAACTTGCCTTTTTCCTCTCTGCATGAGTCACCATTCGGGAGCTGCTTTAAAAGCCTTACTTTTAATGTCCTCTATCACAGATCAGCATCAATTAAAGAGACCCTAATTTTGTTACCTATTCCTAGTTCTAGGGACCCCCTCAACTCAAAAGTGTTTTCTAGTTTTATTACTGTCTTCATGAAAACCAAGGTACCCGCTTTCAAAATCCCCCACCTGCTGGGTGCTGCCTCTCCTGGGCTCTCGGGAGGCCAGGTGCCCTAGACAGAGCACAGAGGAGGAGGTTTGGGTCCAATAATAACCAGCAGCCAGTAAAGGTCCAGGGTCTACTCCAGGCTCCCAAACACAAAGATATAATCATTTGTAGGGCTGCAAATTTGTTTTGTTTACTGTCAGACACCATGTGCAGAAGAGAAAGCTGACTGTATCCTGACCAAAATAAAAAAGGAAAAAAAAGTCGGGCAGCTGGGTTTTTTTTAACCATTATGAGTAGAGCTTCGTCAATAGCAACTCCCACCCAAAATAGCTGCCTAAAGGAGGTGGAGGAGAACCTGTTGTGGAGGTTAAAGAAAATACAAATTAAAAAGTGAAAGTGATTTGTGGAGCCAGAGAATGGAGGCTGTCACCTGCACCTCAGGGGGAAGGGTATCATAGGGACAAGGTGTTGCTTGAAGGATCCCTCCCAGAAAGTTTACTTCCTGCCAGGACTGGGAATCAGAACTCCCCAGCTTCAGGTCTGGGATAGAAACCAGTCAGAAAATTCACCTGAATTCCCCAAAGCCTTAGGGACTTATAAGATCAACCCCAGATAGGCAGCTTCAGAGTATCCAGCAGGTCAGAGGACATACTTGGGGAAGTGCTGTAGGGCATTCAAATAGGAGCTGCCTATTCAAGTCCATTCGAGACCAAGTACATTACTACATTACCTTCTCCCCCAAAGGAACCCTGCCTTCTAGGAGGCCAACCTACCACCTCTCATTGGCAGAAACTCAGGAAAAGGCGTTTTCCCCAGGTTCAAAAGTGGGTCTCAGAGCAAGTGAGGCTCTTGGGGTCCCGTCATTTAGAATGCACTAGGGTGCTACAAAGCTGAACCAGCTTCCCACCATGGCGAGCTTTTTTACTTGAAGAGTAGTCATCAGCAGCAGTGTGGTTGGTGACTCCAGCAACTTCTGGGCCACAGATGTACTATGCCTGCACACCTAAACGGAGCCAACCTCCAGGAGCCTGCCCCTCCCACCAGCCTGTGCCTTCCAGAACAGCGGGCATGCTTAGCACTGAACTGATAAGGGGGTAACCTTCACACAGGATAAAATTTAGCTCTGTCCCCTTTACTTTAGTACACACCAAATGCCTTCCAGAGTTTTTGGGAACTAATCAATTAAGGGATTATTTTTTTTCCTCTGAGAACTGTTTTGTTTATTTCTTACCAAGTTATGTGACACTCAGATGTCCATTAGGTCAAACAGGAAAGCCCACAGCACAGGAAATTTCTCTTTCCACCAAATAAAATGAACTGCGACAGAGTGGGCAAGGGGTAAGAGGGAAGAAGGAGTCAGAAGTTTGAGAAAGACTCAAGTTGAAGGTCACAATAGTTGGGGTAAGGCAGGTCAAGGTAATGTAAAGGGGGCCAACCTTATCGCAGAAAACCCAACCAACCAATCACATTTCTCAGAATCAGCTTCCCACTGATGGGTCCTCCAGGAAGCAGCACATACAAGGGTCCAACTCCCTGCACCCAACAAACCTGAATCTACACCCCAGTCTTGCCCAAGACCAGCCTTACTCCCACAGACCTGAGCGCAGCGAATTGAGAGAGTAGTAGTAAACAAACCCAGTTCCAGACAGCACAGAAGTTTTCCAATTGTCAGCTTGTTTTCCTCCCAACAAAAGATGGTGATTTCCCACCTTTGTCACATTTCCTCCCTTAAACTTTTCTATTCTTTCTGCAATCCTGCTACACACGCTAAACTGCAAGCCACTGAGCATGGAAGCTCAGAAGCAGCACCCCCGGGACGCTGGCAGAAGTACCTTTTCCGCGGAGCAGAGAGGCTGATGCCCAGAGGCTTGCTGCCCTGCGGAGCCGTGGAAGGATGCTGTCGGGATGGAGCACGCTGAGGATTACGCGTTCCTGTCTCTGCGACCAGACCTTTCAGCAGCTCCGACCAACTGTGCTAGCGATGCACTTAGCAATTATCTGCTGGCGCCGAGGCCCCGCCCTCTGCTCTTGCAATTGGTTCTCCAGTCGCGGGCAGGACTGCATTGGTTTCAACCCACCTCACTCATTGCTTTGGCTTCTACTATTATCTAAGCCATCAAAGGGAATAATTCCATGTTTCATTGACAACCTGTATGGCTCTCCTCCGGTTCGGTGTGGCGAAGGGGGGCGGGTGGGGGGCAGAACTGGGAGTCCAGT